AGAGACAGAGTGGGAAACAGAACAGGCAGACTGACTGAAAGACACTGCTGAGGGGAGCAGCAGGCAGACAGCAGAGGTCTGCTGCATCATGTGGATCACCTCCCTGGCCTCGGATCCAACCCATGCATGCTGCAGTGGCTGCAGATAGGTTCATAGTGCTGCAACTTAACCCCTTGCACCACCAGGGAGGTCCTTTTTCCTCCTTTTCTATTGAATTTTGGTTCTTTGTCCTTCAGTTTTTTTTATTTGATCATTGAAAATCAAACATTATAATTACATTAGAAGTATGCTTTTCACACCTAAGTTTATAAAAGTTTAATATACTTTACCTCCATCAATCTTTAAGATGATTGTGATGTAAAGTTAATTAAAAGCTTATATAGGGCCTCCCTGGTGGCACAAGGGGTTAAGCAACACACTATGAACCAATCTGCAGCTTCTGCAGCACAAGTTCAATCCCCGGCCAGCCAGGGAGCAACCCACATGGCGAGGCAGACTTCTCCTGTCTCGTCCACTGCTACCCTCAGCAGTGTATTTCAGTCTGTCTGCCTGTTCTGATCCCCATTCTGTCTCCCCAATCCTCTTACCCCCACAACTCTAGCCTGTACCCCAGCTCTTGTATGCATAAATAAATCAATCATTTTTTTAAATAAATAAATAAAAGTTTATATATCATTGAGGATTTGTGAGATTAAATGAAGTAATACACAATTCATTGTTATTAAATAAATTAAAGTCTCAGGAGTAGTTAGATGAAGAGTATATTAAATAATCAAAGTGAGGATTCAAAGTCAGAAAGGAGTACAAACAAAGCTTACTCTGTGGGGGCTGTTCTGCTAAACACGGGCCTGAGTCTAAATTATTCTGATCCAAAGATAAGCTGATTCTAGAGCAAGGCAATGCAGGATCCAATCTCCTCCCATAGAAGAATGCCTCATAGAGATGCAAAGGTTGGTCACCCATCACTCAATCTCTTTTTTATATGAAAAGCTGACTTATGCTTGCAGGCAAAGAAGATGTCTGAATACAAGAAAGAGCCTGTGCAGTGGCACATTAATTTGCCAGCCAGACTAGAGGTAGTGTCCCCAGAATATTTTACATTGTATCTACAAGGATGAAACATGGCCATTTCATCCAGGTTCCACAGCATTCAGTTGATACCTTGAGTTTTCCCAAGTTCTAGTTACAGGATGTGTCACTGAAAGAGGGAGAAGAGTTGCCATAGTCACAGGGACAGGAGCAATTTTCCCCACCCTCATTTCCAGATTGTCAACATCTTAGTTGCATTGGATGCTCTGTGTATGTGTGTGTGCGAGTGTGTGTGAGTGTGTGTGTGTGTGTGTAATAGGGAAGAAGGGAGAGATACATGAAGAAGTTGTTTCTGGTCCTTGGTCCTAGAGCTTGAATGCTTTGGCAATCAGGTTCTTCAAAGACAATGGTAACCATTATCTTTTTTTAAAAAAGATTTATTTGTTTATGCATACAAGAATTGGGGTACAGGCCAGAGGTATAGTGGTGAGAGGATCCACCATAGACAGAGTGACTGAAATACACTGCTGAGGGGAGGAGCAGGAGAGTCAGGAGAGGTCTGCTGCACCAAGTGGGTCACCTCCCTGGCCCGGGATCGCACTTGTGCTGCAGAGGCTGCAGATAGCTTCACAGTGCTGCAAGTTAACCCCTTGCGCTACCAGGGAGGGCCGGGAGCCATTATCTTGACCTCATGATAGATTATCCAGATTGAATGGTAAATTGTGAATTTCAGGTATTTCCTTTCCCAGCCTCCCTAACCCTTCTTAAACTATTGCTTGTTTTTTCCTGCCGGGAGATTCCTTGAACTTATTCTCCTGGCAGCTCAGTTCCAGGACCTGCCTAAATAACTTAGGTTTGCCTACCAAGGTATGGAGTTTGATCGTTAATCTGTTATTTCAGATTCTCTCATCTCCTCCTCCTTCTCCTTCCGCTCCCCCTACTCCTTTCCCTCCTCCTCCTCATCCTTCTTGTGATTGGCTCTCCTTTAGTGGCATGCTCCCTGGGCAGCTGTGTTCAGCTTCCCCACTCTTATCTTGGAGGTTTTCTTTCACTGCCCGTGTCCAAGGTCTTGTTAAAATTTACTGTCCATGTGTGTTAGCCCTCCTGGATTTCTCTGCCCTTATCTAAGAAGTCTCTTTAATTCTCCCAAAGTTCCCTGCCTTCGCTGTCTCTGAAGGTGCCTGCTTAACACTTAATTGCCCTAGGACTCAACACCTTCTCTCTGCCTTGAAGCCTTCAGAATATGATGCTTGAGCCCAAGCCTTCATCAAGGTTACTGGATTCTAGAGAGAAACAGATGGGAGGAACCTGAAGGAGCCAAGGCAGGGAAGCAGACTCACCCGAGGCCCAGTCCCCGTGCAGAACAGCAGCTCATCACCTGGGCTCGTCTTGATATTCACCATCAGGGAAAAATGGCTTGGATCCCAGATTCTGCTTTGCTAGCTCTGTGGTTGGCCTCTGCAAGCCTGAGTCTGTTCACCTGAACAACAGGGCTGTAGTCTTATCTCTCTCCTTGGTAATAAAGTGTGGCACAAGGCCAGCTACTCAAAGGGAAAGTGGAGTGGACTTCTATATCATCACCACTGTATCCACCACTGTCACTGCTGATATTGGATTGACCCCAAATAACACAAACTGGGGCCCTGGAATTGGGCAGAAGGGTATTGCTTTCTCATAAGGTTCTTTGACCCCTTCATTCTGTTACTATATGCAGCAGGTTCAACTCATGGATGTACCCAAATTGGCCAGATACAAATGTTTTGGGTTTGTTTTGTTTCTTTTGATTTTTTTTTTTATTTTTGTAGGAGGAAGTTTATTATCTGCAGATAATACAGACAAAGAATGTGAATTTCCACACAGACTATTTGCCCACTAAAGACTAGGAAGTGTCTTTAAGAGAGACAAAGGAGTTTTTGGAGATTGGATGTTGGGGGCAATGGACATTGGTGGTCATCTGAGCATTCTAAGATGAAATTGATGCTTCCACATATATGGCATGTTTAAAAATGGTGGCCCCATTCATCCCTCAGGTGAAGATTTTAGAATGATAATGAAATTGGTATGAACTTCAAGACACTAATAGAAGAACTCAGCTCCATATTCTTTTTTTTAAAGATTTATTTATTTTTGTATAGAAGAACTGGGGTGTAGGCCAGACGGGTAGCGGGTGTGAGGATTCAACAGAGACAGAATAGGGAGCAAAACAGACAGATCTACTGAAATGCACTGCTGAAGGGAGCAGTGGGTGAGACAGGAGAGGTCTGCTGCACCATATGTGGGTTAGTTCCCTGGTCAGATGGAACTCAGGCCTTAGTGCTGAGACTTAACCCCTACGCCACCAGGGAGGCTCACAGTTCTATATTCTTTACACACTGCTGAAGTGCTCAAATTGATTAGGGGTGGTTGGCTACAGGTGGAAATGTATGGTTTAGTTAAACATTTTTGTCTGTGACTAAATCAAATAGGGATGGCTTAAAGACATTATTTCTAGTAAATCAAGTAAGGACCAACCCTTAAGGAGTTAACAGAACTTAACCAACAGTGAAGTTCTCAGTAAATCCTAATTGCCCTGCTATGACACCAGGCAATTTTAACCCTTTGTTAGTGGTTCTTAAACCCTAGGATAATCTGTTTTAACTATTTGTTCCTGTGTATTCTGAGGTCCTGGATTCACAATTCTATTTCCTACTCTCATAGATTCTTCCTGGTTTTCTCTGGTTTAATTTCCTCTCCAGCCTTCACACTAAGCAGCAGCCACAATAAGGAGTCAGCTAATTCACTGGAAATAGGTGGTTCTTCAAGGACCAAAAAACAATAACTGGAATTGAGGCTTCCATGACTGTCCTTAGGGACATTTGAATAGTAGTAGCCCTACTCCCCTATTTATCTGTGTGTGACTTCCACATATCAAGCCAGGGTCAGGGAACCCTCCTCTTGATTCAAGAAGCTGGAAAGTTCTACATCAACATCTACTATAATATGATTGATTATGAGTCCCTGGCACCAGAATTCCAGTTGGTCACTCTTTTTCTTGAGATGCTGTACTTGAAGCCTGCCATGAGAGGGACATCAATGGCTGTGAATGAACACCACACTCATTGGGGTGAAAGAATTCATCAGAGACAGTATGGAAAGTAGAAAAGGCAGATTTATTGATTTGCCTGCTAGAGAAACAAGGATGAGACAAGAGTGTCTGGGCAGTGAAGGAAGTTTGAAGCCCTTTTATACTCTGAACCTGTGGAATTCCCAAGATTTAGGACACAACTCTGTACTGGCAGCTATACACTAGTGTCAGACCATTAGTCCCTGCAATTTTAGAAATTGCATCAGCCTTTCATGGCCACAGGAGACATTATGGCCCTGTTTCAATAATAATCATTTTGTTCCCCTACATGCCCAAGACTTCTGAACCACTTCCCAGGGTAACTCTTCAATTTCCCTCATCTGTTCAAAATTTCCCATCCCTGTCTGCAAAGCAAGGAAGAGACTGAGGTTTTAACCCTAAAAACCCCAACAAAGCCTTACTTTGTGACTCAACTGGTGAAAGTACTTTGCGGAACACTAGAACTCTTGTTATCTTCACCCAAGTAGCATATCTCTTGAGCCTAAGAGCAACTGTGCCCAAATCCACTACTCATCCCTGCCGGGCCTCCCCTGTCTCACCCTTCTCACTCCTGTGCCCACATCTACAGTCATACTCAGAGGCTTTAGATCCCAGAGGAACATCTGGAGACCAGTGTCCCCTTCACAGTACCTTGGGGGCATGTTCACTCATACAGTAAAAATGTACAGAAAAAATGTTAGAGGGAGACTGAGGTTGAGTAAGAGCCCAAGGAATCCAGGGGATGAAGAAACTGTAGACTAGAAAAAAGAGCTCATACAAAGATGCACAGCTTTCCAAAATGGGAGAGTGGTGTTGGAAGGCAGCTTGAGAAACGCCCGGCCCAAAAGAAACAAGACATATTTGACCAGTGTTGAAGCAAAGTTTTAATAGTGAAGAACAAATCATTTGAAACATGGGGTGACCAGGAAAGCTGTGACTAATAGTCACTGAGCAGGTAAAGGAGGGAGGGAGACCAGAGTTGATCTTAGAGCAGCAGCCCTAGCAGGAGGAAGCTGATGATGGCTGCAGGGACAAAGGAGACTTTGTAAGAGCAACCAACATGGTTTCCTTTGGTAAGGAGTAAATGCTGGCATCACTCTTTTTGGATGTGGCTCTCCCCAAGCACTGGGGGTGGGGGAGGGCTACCAGAAATGGAGATGTAGGAGGCACAGCTCTGAGCCACTCTTCTTAAGACATGCAGACCTCACTGAGGTGATGACTGCCTCCATCTCAGGATCTCACTTCATTTTCACACCAGCCCAAACCCTCTGAGGCTGCTGCCACCACACATGGCTCATCTAAATCTCCACACAGCTCCACCTGCAGGCAGCTGGGGCACCACCAGAGGCATCTGCTCTTGGAGTCTCCTGGGAGACCCCAAGCTTAGTGTAAGGAAGCAATGACACTTTGGGGGAAGTGCAGAGGTCACAAAGGATTGGAAACCAGGCTGCTGAGGATTGGTGAGGTGGCTGATGAGTGAGAGAGGCCAGATTCTAAGAGGTCACATGTTGTGAAGACTGGAGCTTTACAGTGAGGTCACTGAGGTAAGCATGGGGCAGGAGTGAGACTGCTTCCCTTCTGGAGGCTCCTCCTGCCTGCAGGTAGAAAGAGCAGAAAGACATAACAGGGAAGGGGTTAACACTGAGAAGTACAAGAGACCTGACCAGGACAGAGTCTGTTACTTGGTTATCAAGAGCAATTAATTTCCTAGAAATGTGCTTCCATTTACATTTCTGGCTCCTCTCTCTCCTCCCAAAGCAAGAAAGAGAGCAATGCAGCACTCCCACTTAATGTCTGCCTTCCTTCCCCTGACTGTCCATGCTTAATTCTGAACTCTTGTCCTCTGCATCCTGGGCCTGGGCTCAGACTTCCCATAGGGGCAAGTCCTTTGGAAACATTACTGGGTGTGGAGATTGGAGTGGATTCAGTAGGGATGTGCCCGTTTTTACACTTAAACTTCCGGAAGGTAAATTCTCCAATCATCTGGGTTTCAGCAGACAGGAACTGACAGGTGGAATTATTGATGTTGAAGTCAGCCTTTCAACACAAGCTTAGTCTCTGAATGAAAAGGAGACAGTAAGGGCTTTATATCCCTTTGCCCTTCCTCCCCACGCCTCTTTGAGACCTGCAAAAGCTGATCCAGGTCTGCTTCCAAAACAGGAGTTTGGAGCAAGAAACGCAGAATGATAAAACAGGGGCCATGGAGGTCAGGACCAAGGTGCCTTCTACCACCTAACCCTGAGGAAACTGAGGCTCAAGGAGGTAGATGCAAGACTGAGCTCATTGGTGAGCTGGATCTAGGATTCAGATTCCCATTGTTTTTTGGAATAGCTGGTAGCTGGTAAATGCCAGGTATAGACTCAGACCCCCTGCAGTTCTCTACTCCTGATCCAGGAAGGAATTGGTAGTCTGGACTCCTCCTGGGCTCTGCTCTCCACTCTTCTCTAGACTTGAATGCTCCCTGCCAGAGTTTTCCCTTAAAAAAGGAAAACAAGACCTCCTTGGTGGTGCAGGGGTTAAGATGCAGCCTATGAAGCTGTCCACAGCCACTGTAGCACGAGTTCAATCCCCAACCAGGGAGGTGACCCACATGGTGAAGCAGACCTCTCCTGACTCACCCGCTGCTCCCCTCAGCAGTGCATTTCAGTCAATCTGCCTGTTCTTTTCCCCACTCTGTCTCTGGTGAATCCTTTCACCCCCCTACCTCTGGCCGGTACCCCAGTTCTTGTATACATAAATAAATAAATCTTAAAAAAAAAAAACAGCAAGAGGGAAGGCAGAGAGAACACAAATAATCTTTACTCTAAATTCTAGTTGTGTTATGTTTGACCCTGTTTTAAGATACAGATGTTAGGAAGATTCCAAGGGAATTGGCAGAGATGTGGTTGTGGTTGTAGATACTTTTAGTGAACACTTGCTATATGCAGAATTGCTCCATTAGCTACAACTAAACAGCCCAGAGGAACAGGCAGCTCACACTGGAGGAGGGGCTGGAGAGAGCCCCAACCTTTATTAAGGGGAAAAACCCTTAATTTCCCTAATGACTAATGATGCTGGGCATCTTTTTATGTCATTGGCTGCCATCTGTTTTTGATGAAATGTCTTTTCAAAATTTTTTTCCGTTTTAAAATAAATTATTTGCTTTTTATTATTGAGTTTTTAGAGTTCTGTATGTATTCTGGATCCATTATGGTTTGCAAATATTTTCCCTTTTGCTACAGAGAACATTACTGCAACAGCTGGTGAAATGTAATAGTGTCTGAGGATTTGACATTTATAGATTAATTTTAATTTGATTGTGATTATGCTATTCTGTAGGAGATTATTCTTATTCATAGGAAATACATACTATAAAGTATTTTGGAGTAGTAGGAACCACAAGTTGATAATTTCTCTCAAATGATTCAGAAAATATAAAAGTTATTTTGACAATAAACTTTATTTTGAAACTATTGGGACAATCTTAAGGTGGGCTGAATATTAAAAGAAATTAAAGAATTACAAATAATTTTCATGGGTGTGATAATGGTATGTAAATATCTACAAAGAAGAAAAATGTCCTTATCCGGGACATTGCACGCACTGCAGGGATTCTGGGGAGACAAGATATCAGGCCAAGAGTGTGCTCTGGGCAAAGCATCACACACCCACTTCTGGATAAAAGAATATAAGGATGTCATCCCTTCCGGGGTCCCCCAAATAAGAGACCGTGAGAGGGAGACACCCTCATTTGTTTTCCCCACTGTACATCAATGCCCAGAAGGAAGACCCAACCTTGGGACAGTGCATAGAGGATACCTGCAGGTCTCAGATTTCCTCAGCTTAATATGAGAGGCCACATGAAAGGACCCCAATGCACCATGAGCAAGAAGAACTGGTGAAGAGGAGAAAATAGATGTCTTTCCCACAATGGGCATGCGGCTTGACTCACCTACAGTGGCGACAGTGAGTGCTGCGAGGGTACCAGCAAGGAGGATGTCCTTCATGGCTCAGGAGTTGAAGTCTCCAGAGGACAAGGACCACGCAGAGCCTCAAACCTGAAGAGACAAAGAAGGCAGTCCAAGGCTCAGAGGGTCGCTTGGGCACATGGTCTCAAGAGTCGTAGTCACGCCTCAATAATCCCAATGAAGGCCTCCCTGGTGGCCTAGGGGTTAAGTCTCAGCGCTATCACCACTTTTGGTGCAGCAGACCTCTCCTGTCTCACCTGCTGCTTCCCTCAGCAGTGCATTTCAGTAGATCCACCTGTTCTGCTCCTACTCTGTCTCTGGTGAATCCTCTCACCCCCTGTACTTCTGGCCTGCACCCCACTTTTTGCATGCATAAATAAATAAAAATAAATATTTAAATATATAGATATAGATATAATCCTGGTGACTGAACTGCCAGGAACAGGGTCAGCAAGCTCATATGGGAGCACAGGACTGTGACGGAGATACTCCCCACTCTTAGCCTTTACTGATCTGGGATTTCCCAGTCATGATGCTTCCAGTGGTGTCTACACACAGATAGGAAACACAGCCAGGAGCATTTTCTGAGGAGTCACTTCAGGCATAGAATGGATAGGCAGTATCACCAGGAGTAAGGGTTCAGAAAAAAAGCAGATTCTCCTCTTCCAGGGCGTAAGATCCATCCTCTAAGTGGTATCTCACCATACTCACATCATTTCTGCATGCACTTAGTGGCTTCTTCATGCATTTAGTGGCTCTGTGTATTAATTCATGTCATTCTTTTACCATAACAAGCAGGTCCACCTTGGAGCACAGAAAATCCTGAATGTCTTTCCTGTAGTTCAGCTTTGCTCAGGTTTGTCCCCCACTCTCCCATATTGTGGTCCAGCACCTCACTTCCTGGGTCTATTCCTGGTTCTATATCTGCTCATAATCTCAGCTTATAAAGTCAAGGGCTGGGGGACGAGGCAAGGGGTCCTTAATAGAAAAGGAAGACAAGTGGCACCTGTACACTCCTTGACAAAGTCCCAAAGGTCTTTGAGATCTAACTCATTGTATTTTTAGAGCAGATGGACCCAACAGTTATCTAATAGCCCCTCATTTTATGTGAGCAACTGAGTCCCAGAGAGGTTAAGCAACACACTCAACATCAAAGGCACACTCCTGAGAAGTGCTGGAGTTGGGGCTGACCCAGGACCTTAAACACCAGTCCACACTGCCTCCAACACACTGGACTATGAGCCTGGGACCTGAACACACTTTACCTGCAGGGCTGATCCAGAAACCCTGAACAATCTCTCTGCACTTGCATAATCATCTAGTCACAAAGTTTTGAGTGTATTCAGAAAGATACTGAATCAGAGCTCGCAGAATTTCAAATTGCCCGTCTGAGTATCTAAGCAACCAGAAGAGTTATCTGGCTGTCCACAGAGTCCTTCCTGATCACTAGTGCATTAATCCTATAAATGGTAAACTTGACCACGTGTGGCTGTCCCAGTCTAGATTAATTGACGCTAGATGAAAAGAAGCAGTCTCCCCCATAGCCACACATGGTCATGGTGCCATCATGCTCAGAGCAGGTGTAGAGCATCTCTTTCATTTCAGAAAGTCCCTGGACAGTGCTGCTGTAAAGGTGCTGACCCCTCTACAGGGGAGAAACCTGCAGGTAGAGGGATAGTGAAAGCTGCCCAAGCCCATCAGTTTATAAGCCAAAACCATAGTTGCATTCCCCATACTCCCAGCTCTGGGTCAGGCTGCACCATAACAGTTGCAACCAACTATAGCTCACCTCCCTCCTAACACACACACAGGACACACACAAATAGTGTGGACATGAAGCCCATAACACACACATGCTATATGCACCTCATATACCACAGGAACAAGCCACACTCACACATGTTCCACACATACCATATATACCACACACATCACACATACACAGCACATACATCACATACTAAACACACACCACACATGTATATTATATATGCACACCCCATATTGCACATCCCTGCAGTATGCACCCCATATGCCACAGGCCCAGACTAAGCTCAGAAATGGCACACATACAACATACTACACACATCATACACTCCACAGACATCACACTCACACCACACACACTAGTCATGCACACTGCATATACACACACACACCGCCATATGTGATCCCCTGGTTGACATACTAGGGGGTCAGTGAAAAGAAAGAGAAGCTAGTTTAATCAGGGAAACAGATGGACTCATCTGTTGTCTAATGTTCCCAAGGAGGAAAATTTAGTATGTCTGCTTTGGAGCTTGTGGCAGACATGGTGGGTGGTACACCCTGCATCCCCCAGCCTGATTGACTCCCAACAGGAAGAGCGGTAGAGGGCTGGGACCCCTGAAAAATGGGTCTCAAGCCTGTGAGTGAGAAGGAAGGGAAGGGAGAGCTGGAGAGAGGCGAGGGGAAGACAACAGCCACAACTAAGCGCACAGATTGCCAGAGCCTCAGGGTGCAGCCCTGATGAGTGGCCTCATTTTCAGAGGCAAACAACAGAGGCCTCGAGAGGTCAGGACCCAGACCCAAGTCTGGAGGTGGTCAGACCCAGGACCTGCTCACACCTCTATAGAAGAGAGGGTGCAGCAAAGCTGGGGGATGGGGCAAGGGGTCCTAAATAGAAAAGGAGACAAGTGGCCCCTGTATACTCCTTGGCAGAGCCTCAAAGGTCTTTGAGATCTAATTCATTCTATTTTTAGATTTTCTGATCAGTATCAGAGGGTCCTGCCACACTCACTCTTAAGTCCGAGCTCAGAGAGGCTGCCAGAAGGACATGTCTCCCCAAACACTGAGCAAACCTCAAGGGTAACACACACACTCACATACACACACAGAGCAAATCCCACAGGGCACCACGCACACAGAGCCAAGCTCGTTCATGCCCCCTCCACTCCATCTTTCCTATCCTGAGTGCTGCCAGAGAAGCAAGAGTTACAGGAACACCCCGGAACACAGAAAATCCTGAATGCCCTTCCTGTAGTTCAGCTTTGCTCAGGTTTGTCCTCCACTCTCCCATAGCCCGGCATAGCCCCTCACCTCCTGGGTCTATTCTAGAGAGTGGTCTGTGGAAGGTAGGTCCTGGGCATGGTTGGAGCAGGTGTCTGAGGGCCTTATATAGCAAGTGACTCCAGTCTTAAAACACAACTGCTGCAGGGAGGAGCTTCTGGGCCAGACTTGTCACTACCCATCATTGGGCCACAGGAGCTTTAACCCTTTGGCAGCTGTGCAGTTGGTCAATGCTCTGAAATCTCCAGGAATAGAGAGGAAGTATGGTCATGGCCTTTGGCTAAACATGTAGTGGAGCAAGGTGTATTCTTGGTATCCTGAGTCAGCCTCATCCATGGAGGCCATGATATTAGTAGAGTTACAAGGATCACCTATATCCACCTGGTTAAGCGGTCATCTGAGTAATTATCCCAGTTACAGATGAAGAAACTAAGACACAGAAGAGAAACACAACATATCTGCCGGTGGATGCAAAGCAGAGGTAAACACAGATGCATAGTCCAGAAAATGGGGCCCGTGAGGATCAGGAGAGGGACTCAGGTCCACTCGGGTAAGTGAACTTCCCTCACTAACACTCAGGGTCCACAGCCAAGATGAGGGTAAACCCATCAGTCTCACAGGGTGGAGGGGCCACAGAGCCCCACCTGCAGCATCCACTATGCCTCCTAGGAGGGACCCGCGGCCATGGCTCTTGCTGCCTCCACACCCCGAGCAATTTGTGCAACTGTGTCTCCCGGGAGCCACTGTGGTGAGAGTGCAGTCCAGTCCACCCCCCTCTCAGCCTCTCCCATCATGCAGGAGGCTACTGGCTCTCATTGCTCTCCCTGCCACTGCAGACACATGCTCACACACATGCAAACATACCACACACTCATGTACACACTCAACTGCCGCGGACCAGCACAGCAGTAGACGATGAGGCTGTCCCAGGGTTGAGAGAAGCGCGAAGGGTGGTCAGGGCGTCGGCGAAAGAAATGACAAACAGACACACTTCAAGAGAGTGTGAATCTGAGTGCGTTTTTAATTAAGTTAGTGGCCAGTATATATATGTTTTTTCTAAAGGCATAGGATCGGTGAACATCAAAGAAATCAGCTTGCTCATAGGTTTAGCTTATCATTGACAGGGCAGTGATTTATATCCAAAATACATCTGGACCTAGCCGCATTCCTAAGTAGACAGGCTATTAACTCTTTCTTTTGTTTTATATAATTATATTCTTGTTGTACTAACTACTACTACTACTACCTAATAATGTTTACTCATAATTAATTGCCATGGGTGAATTTATATTATAATGCAGTTAATATCGAAGGTACTAAAGTCAAGCACATAATAGAAAGATTATTAGACCAACAATTTTATTGTAACACAGTGTTTAGTAATGTTTCATTTGCATTAGCCTAATTCTTAAATTACTTATGTTTTTTAATTAGCAATCAATGACTAGAAAAAGGAAAGATTTTAGAAAGACAGTTGTAGCAGAATAAAGTTTGTGGGCCTTGAGAAAACGAGATAAGGTTCGAGCATTTCTTTTAATCATCTTTGTGGCGGCTTCTGGGGGTTGTTATCTCTTGGCAGGCATTCGGCTTCTCTGCATCTTAGGGAGTTTGCTGTTCTCCCCCTGCGCGCATGGTTCCTTGCCCACGCCCGACCTCAGGGACCATGGCAACAGCCATTAGCCCTGAAGGTCACTGCAGGGGGAGGTGCAGCACTCAACTCTCCTGCATAGTCACACACTCACAAACACTTCCACTCATGTATTCACTTTCACCTTCTCATGCATGCTCACATCACCCATGCTAACACACAATGCACAACATTGCACAAACACACTGACACACTTCTTGTCAGATACACCATACACCATATACACTCACACTCATACCAAACAGACACACTCTCTAGCAAACACACTGCCACACACACCCCAGACATCTGGGGGAACCTAGAATGCAAGCTTGGGGTTTAGCACCACACCAACACCCTTAGCTGGTGGATAAACCCAGAGTCCCTTGTTCTGGAATTCTGGTTCCCTGATCTTTTGCTGCCCCCTTTGTCCTGGTCAGTGGCTCTTCTGTCCCTCCCTTCCCCAAATTCATGCATTCATTTAACAAACATATATGAGTATGTGACTGCTCCAACAATCTGGGTAGCAATGTGCATGAAGAAACAGAAACTACCCTTCTGGCAGTCAGACCACACAAATGAAGTGACTGTGTAGATTCAAATGTGGTGACCTCTCTGGCAAAAATAGAAAGAACAAGCATACTGGGAGCACAAGGTACAATTCTAAATAGGAGGACTTTGCAGGTCTTATGGAGAAGGCAAAATTGGTGTCTTTTATTTGCAGGGGCTCTGGCCATATCTCTTTTTCCTCCTTTCCTTCCCGTCCCCCCTCTCACTGCCCATGAGGTCATTTCCTGAACAAAGGCAATTCCCTCCCTACAGAATCCTAATCTGTCTTCACCCCACCCACCTGGAAGGACCCATGGGGTTGGCAGAGCAGCACCAGCCAGTGGAAGAGGGGTCCCTGCACACAGCATCCCTGGGTCAGGCAAGGTTGGAGGAACAGAAGGCCTCTTACACACTGGGTCTTTGAGATAACTGTCCCAGAGGCTACTCATTTTCAGGCTAAGGAGTAAAACAGAACAATCAATGATGATTTCCTTAGAAACCATAAGATATCCAAGTAAACGAGACAAAGTCAGCCCTGTCTAAATTTAGATTTTACCCCTCACATCACATAAATTATTTATTAACCTACCTCGAGGTGCCTGAGCGGCCGCCCACTAAAATGGGAACATCAGAGCCAAAAGAAAGGCCTGCTGATTATTTATTTCCTCTTGGGATCCTCACCCCATTCTACTGTGTGTTCCTGATGCCATTTAACAGTACTGTCATGAGACGTTGGGTCACATGATGCAACAGCAGTCCGTTAGCTGAGCTGTGTGAACCCCTTATAGCCTTCCTGGGTCTGCCCCGCCTGAGATCCAGACAGTGTATAAATAGGCATTAAGGCTAGTTCCCTTGACAGATGAATACACTGAGGCCCAGAAAGGCCTCTTCTCCAGGCTCAGACACCTGGACCAGCATCTTTCCATCCCAACACAACTCATTCAGGCCCAGATTCTACCCACAATGCAGCTTGCTTCCTCCCTGATCTAGGGTCACATCTCTGTCATCAGGGTGGAGTTATCATGGCCTGAGTGCTGGTATCAGTTACCAGGTATTATAAAAGAACTCCTCCCCAAAACAGACTCTCCATCTGACTAGTCAAGAAGTCCAAGGACCCCTGAGTAGCTGACTCTGAACACACAACCCAAGGTTGACTCGTAAACTGAAGACATTGGGTTTACATGAGACAGCTTGGCTTCCTAATCTCCTTAGAAGAGAAAAAGGCTCATAACTGCTCAGTCTGTCTGAACAAGGATTCACCTGGATCTAGGAGAATCATCCTCAGATGTGAATCTGGACCCATTGTGGGAAAGGGCCCAACATTGCCGGGACACAGTCATCATGCATGAGAAAATGCCATGAGAGATAAACCTCCCCAATATCCACACCTTGTGCAAGATTGTGACACTTTTGTCGGGTTCCCATCCCATGTCAAATGGGAAAGACAGTGCCAACTACATCAAGAATAACATTAAATGTGGGCAAATAAAAAAAATTAACAAAAAGGAAGTGATTTATAATGGATTAATACAAACACATCTAACTTTATCCCTCTACAGAATATTAGATAAAAATATACAAGTTGAAATCAAAAAGATAGAAAAAAACTTATGAAAACATCAAATATGGGAAAAATAGTGCCATGGCAGGGCCTGTCTATTGTTTGCTAGATGTCTGAATGTTGGAAAACATAGCATTATAAGGGTATGGAAGAACCCTAACTGCTTTTGCTTTCTAGAAATTGAATGAGGCAACTTGCAGGGGTCCCCACTGTTGAAGAGTCTGAACTGAATGGGGTCTCCATGGCCCCCCATTTCATCTCTCTCCCACTTCAGAACTAGTCCTGGGCAGAGGGAAGTCTCCACTACAGATGGCCAAAGCCCGAAGCAGTGAGAATGGTGAGGCTTCAGAAGGCAGCAAGGGCTAAGACTCTCTGTCCCTAGGGATGAAACAGAAGTAAGTTTTTCTAGGGATTGGGAAGACTGGTAGCAGTGTAGACTTCACAGAAGGACACAGAGGAAGGGCTCTTAGGGAGAAATGAGGAGTGGTATAGCAAGAATTGTAATCATCCAGGACCATCCTTCTGTCAGTCTGCTACTACTGTGACCCAGGAGTGAACTGAGTCAGTTTTCCTGGATGTATCAGCTTGTGCAAACCTCTGGCCATCACTGAATAAACCTCCACCCACTAGAAAGACCAGTCTACTTTAGAGGAGTGAAAAAATTTGCTTAAAATCCCCAGGGCATATACTACCTTAGTTTATCCAACTTGTCCTAATTAGAGAAAACAGAATGAGAAAATTAAGGATTGATAGGACTAAAGGGGAAAAAAAGGTAAAAGAGTTACTGAAAACAGGGTCTCCCCTGGTGGCACAGGCAGTTGTGCACCACACTGTGAAGCTGTCCACAGCCTCTGCAGCGCCGGTTCGATCCCGGCCAGCCGGCGAGGGTCCCACATGGCGCTGCAGACCTCTCCAGTTGCGCCTGCTACTCCCCTCAGCAGTGTATTTCATAAGTCTGACTGTTCTGCTACCCACTCTGTCTCTGGTGAATCCTCTCACCCTCTCACGCATCTGGCCTGTACCCCAGTTCTTGTATAATTAATTAATTAATTAGAATTACTGAAAACAGAAAACACATAAGGCTAGTTCCTACATCTTAATTCCAAGTTGATGTCTCATGGGTACTGGGATAGGCTTCCCATACATGTGAGTCATCCAAATAACATGATTCTTTAGGGAATAGAATGCTGTTCCATAAATACTAAATGAATTAAAAAAAGGTGACACTGTGAAGGGCCTGTATTATTGGTGACAATAAGGCATATGGGATATAGACAGGATTTCTTTTTCTGGTATTTGTAGACTATGTCGCTTTGACCAAAATCCTTCCCCCTTTTCTACTACAGGAAAGACACTGTTAAGTCCATAATTCAGCCTAGTTGTATATGTTATTCCAACAGAATCAACTGCTCTGAAGCTTTCATCCTCAAGTTCAAGTCTCTTTTCTAAGTTCGAATATTGTCTCTGAGATTGAGCAATCTGATCTTAGTATAGACCATGTACAGACACAAGTATTTTAAAACTACTTTATGGGTGAAATGTGGTTAAAATATCTTAGGGCAAGAATAAAGACAGAACTTTTGGTCAAAGAAAAGTCATAATTTTAAAAATTGGACACTACTTTAAAGGCGTGGGCAACATTGGGAGCTCTATAGACCCGCTACCCAACAAATAAGCATAATAAGCAATAATTGTTCTCTTTATGATTTATTTATTTTTGCATAGAAGAACTGGAATATAGGCCAGAGGTGCAGAGCATAAGATGATTCACCAGAGACTGAGTGGGGAGCAGAACAGGTGGATTTTACTGAAATACACAGCTAAGGGGAACAGCAGGCAAGAGAGGAGGAATCTGTTGCACCATATGTGGGTTAGCTCCCTGGCGGGGGAAGGAACTCAGGCCCTGAGAGTGATAGCACTGAGGCTTAACCCCTAAGCCACCAGGGAGGTCCCTGGTGCTTTGTTTTAATCTCTGAATTTGTACTAAGGGCAAACAACAAATGACAAAAAAGTAATTATTCAAGAAAATCTACTAAAAATTATAAGAATAGCTAATGTCTGCAGCACTTGAACTACAATCGACTTGCTCCTCAAGCCTCGAGTGCTGCCTGTCAGAGGGGGCACCTCGTGAGGGTTTCATAAACAAGGCTGCACTCCCACCAGTGCCCTAGAGCCCCGGGGGAAGCATCTCAGTCTGTCTGTGGTCCAGAGGCTCCTTAAAAGCTGAGAGCCTAAAGGTGGGCAGAGGTGTGAGCTGTAGCCAGCTCTGGGGAGAGGAATCCATTTTATTTTGCTCCTGAGATAGTACCACAGGGTTTCCTGTACACCATTGCTGAGATGTAGATGTCCCAGTTTTGCATTTTTATAGGATAATGTTTCCAAAATTTGGCCAACCATGACAGCTACTTGGCATTAGGTGAAAACCAATTTCTAGGCACCTCCCTTTGAGATTCTGATTTGGCAGGTGTGGGTTGGACCCAGAAATTTGTATTTAAAAAGTCTGACCAGGGCAGCCCTGATGACCAAGGGGTTAAGTCTCAGCTCTTTCTCAGCTAAGGCCTGAGTCAGATCCCCTGCCAGGGAGCTACCCACATGGCGCAGCAGACCTCTCCTGTCTCCCTGCTGCAACCCTCAGCAGTGTGTTTCAGTAGATCCCCTGGTTCTGCTCCCCACTGTCTGTGGTGAATCCTCTCACCCCAGCACCTCTGCCCAGTTCTTCTACACAACAATTTAAAAAATCATTAATAAAAAAGTCTGACCATTATCTTAATGACCATTGTATCTTAATTGTGATATTTCTTTCAACTTTGAAAGATGGAAGGCATCTTGGGCTGCAGGCCACAGGTAAGAAGACAGAGAAGATGGGGCGCTCCTGGCACTCACACACTGTTCTTGTTCCGGCAGCTTCAGCCAGAGACCCGCGAGCCCGAGGGCCCTGAACTAAGGCTTCTGCTCCTGGGGAAACGCAGCACAGGAAAAAGCACCACGGGAAACAGCATTCTGGGCAAAGTCGTGTTCAAGTCCAAGTTCAGTGGGCGCCAGGTGGTGACCAAGGCGTGCCAGCGACAGCTCAAGGCCGTGGGAGGGAGGGAGCTGGCGGTCATAGACACTCCTGCCCTGTTCTCCCAGCTGTTGGACCCCCAAGACCGGTGTGGCCACCTGGAGCACTGTGTGGAGCTCTACGGGGGTGGTGCCCTCGCGCTGCTGCTGGTGATCCCCATCGGCCACTTCACAGTGGAGGACAAGGAGATGGTGCAGGTCATCTGGGAGGCGTTTGGAGCGGAGATCAGGGAGCGTGCTGTGGTGGTCCTCACGCGCAAAGAGGAGCTGGGGGAGGGCTCCCTGACAGAGTACATGAGCTTGAAGCCCCTGATGGTCTCAGAGAGCTTGTTGGAGGCTGTGGCCGTGGGTACTGCACCTTCAACAAGGGCGGTGAGGAGGAGCTGCCGCCAGCTGCAGGACCTCCCTGCTTGATGGGCAACAGTGAGGAACCTTATTCCCTGAAGGGCAGAGCCGCCTGCAGTGGACCCCAGGTGAGGACTGTTCAGGCCTCCCAGGTCCTGCGCTGCTCGCAGTGGCTGGAGGAGGGCAGGAGCGAGGGCACTGGGGCATTGTGTACTGTGGGGGGTGCATCCTGGAGGGGACACTCACCACAATTGGGGGGTGCACAGATGGCAGGCTATTGCGTTACCCTTTGGGCTTTAATTCATGGATGCAACTGAGTCCTTCTCTAATACCCTCCTGGCAGCACACACACAGACTCCATCCTCTCTTCTGGGTCTGTGCAATGGCCTCTTCTTGTTTCTCTCCCTCTTTCTGACTGCCTTAGAAAGTCAGGTCCCCTTCTAATGCCCTCTGGATGTTGACCTCTCCGGGCTTTTTGGAGCTCAGACACAAGGTCCCACACTCTCTCCTGCAGTGACCCCACATTGCTAAGGGTAGAGCTCCCTCTGTGGCTGACAGTTTCCTAACTAGTGGCTGGAGTTGCCTTTCTTGGGAGTGCTGGCCCCCACCCGCCCAGGCTTCTCCCCCAGGCTCTGGGACAGGCCCTAAGCTCCGCATACGTGTGTTTGGTCTCCTCCTAAGTTAGCAAAGCTTTTTTTCCTTTCAACCCAGTAAGTGGCTGTGCTGCTCTCATGTCCTCCAAACCTAAGGCCAGGTTGTCGCTCCTGTGGGCTCACCTCTGACATCCAGGATTCCAGTCCCAGGCCATCACTGCACCCCTCCAACCAACTGACTGCTCCCTGTCTCACCCTCCTCCACCGCTCCACACCACCACTTTCCCCGCCTGCGCTAGTCCACACACAACCTTCCAACAGCCTCTTCTCTTCCTCCTGTGACCCCCCCACCCCATCCACGGCATTACCCGCCTCGGAATGATGTTTATGTGATTCTAAACTTGAAGGGAAAATGAACTTTTAACCAAGGCGGATGCAAAATGGCAGGTTTGAAAGGTGCTTCCACTTCAGATGCCCAAGAAACTTACACACCTTCTGCCTTAGAAACAATGCAGCACGGGCTTAGGGCGAGCAAGTGAATAGGCCCGAGGTGGCTCTGAACCTCAGTGCCCGGCAATGTACAGCAAGCACAAAGTCAGCGCGGGGGCAGTTTTGGTCTGAGGGAGACGTCTTAGAGCAGACGAGAGTAGGCAGTTGAGGGGCAAGTGGGAGGAAATCAGCATTCATTGAGCACCTACTGAGTTCCAGAATCTCCCCAGCAGTGTATGCACTACAGTCTGTGGTGGTGCTGCTCCTCCCAGGAAGGACGCCAGGCTCAAGAGAAGTGAGGCCACTGCTCTCGCCTCCTGGGCCTGCGCCCTCCTTCCCTAGGGCTGGATGATGTGTTCCTGGAAGGTTCCCAGAATAGAGGTGGCTACAGAGAGAAGGGGCTCAGAGCCTTCTCCCCAATGCAGCTGAGCCCCACACCCTCTGGTTTAAGATGCCACCCTGACGTCTGCTGGTCTTCAGCTCAGGTTCAGAATCTTTGGCATGTCCTGGTCCCTCCACGTCTTCACGGCTCTGTCCGTGCTGCCTCCCACCTCCCTTTGGTCCTTGAGCATCAAACCTGAAACTTGTCCTGCCTGGACTCTTCCCTTCTCCCTCCCACCTGCCTCAGGTCAGCTCTGGCTTCTCCTTCTGCCTGGGCTGAACTCACTTCCTCAGGGAATTCCCCTTGACCCTGCCCTGGAATGCCCAGCTCCCCTCCTCAGGGTGCTCCCTGAGTCTTACCCAGGGGCCCTGAGGAATGAGCTCTAGCTGCCCCTTTCCCACAGCCCCGTGAGGACAGAACTCCTGTCTGGTTTGTTGACCACAGTAGCTCAGTTTCCTCTTCTGTAAAACAGACGGTAATGTCGTGTATCTCAGCACGGCTGTGTGGATTTAATGACTTGCTTACGAATTTGTCTGCAAATACTTGAAGCTCGAGAAGGGTACACTAATTATTAGCTGTAATTGTTGTTATTATTGAAGCCTATGCCATTCAAATAAATTTGGGGACATTAAGGAACTAAAGATGGAGCAGATCCCCACAGTTGGGCATCTGTCACCCAGAAGTAAAGCACTTGTGTGTATAAAGCTTGTGCGCAAGGCCATCTACAATGGCGTTGTGTGGAAGAGACAGCTGAAGGTCCAAGGTGCAGGACTCCAGTAGGCATGGTGTGGCTACACTGCGGGCCAAAAGGCCTCTGCTGGAATGTGGGTGGATCATGATGAATGGGCTGTGAGGGGCATGGCTGTATGGAGCAGACCGGTATCAATTAACAACGGTAATGTTTATGTTCATTTGGAGATGGAAAATTATTAATTTTTTAGCTTACATGTATGTGCACTGTAACAATGCTGTGCATGTAAAATCAAGAAGGAATCTGAGCTGCACTGTTTATAAGGTGAATGAAATGTGCTAATCAGCACTGAGTGGGGAGGGCCAGGGAGAAATGTGCTTATAGATTTCAGGCGAGGTGGTAGAGGAGGGATGCCATGTCCCTGACTGGCATGGAGATCAGCAGGTAGGTTGGAATATGCCAAGGGGACCTGCGAGGTGTCTGCCCAGATACACTCACTACAGGTGTATCCAGACTGTAGGTACACCTCTGTTTTCACCTTCTCTCTTGATTCTGTGACAATGTAGAGTAGGGGGAAGCAGGAAGCTCCACAGGCAGGTCTGCAGGCAGGTGAGGGGAGCCAAGTGAGTCCTGGGCTCTCCATCCTCCACCTGGGAGAGGGGGTTCCACATTTTGCTGACTCATATTTGAAGAAGCTTCATCTCCACACAGTGGGGATCGGGGGACAGTGCAGGGAGGGAAGGAGACATTGGAGACATTGAGAGCTCAGCTCGGTGTCTATTCCCTCCCCCCACAACTACACACCACAGTCACCAGGGCCCAGCATCTCCTTCCAGGGAGTCCAAAAGCTCTCACACCTCTGAATTTCCTCCAGGAGCAGCAGGCACTCTGGAAGACTGGGTATGACACAACCAATAGTTAGAGTGGGATTACAGTTAGAGCAGCTTCAGGAAAAATGCCTTGGATCGACAGCATGTGTGGGGTCCCTCTGTGGGAGAACAATGCCCTTCTCACTTCTGGGGAGTCCCCCGAAGCAGCAGTGGGGGTGTCAGCACTGACTCTGGACAGGTTTACAAGGGTCATTGAGGACATGGCCGAGGCCTGGACACCCCATCCTGTCCCCCTGCTCTGCGCAGTGCACCTGTGCCTCACTCTTCACTTTACCGGAAGCGAGACTGCATCTATGAACCTCATTCTCCCCCTTCACTTCTAGGATCCTGTGGCTGAACCTACACCTCAGAAAGGAAACAGTCTGCATGGTAGGAAGATCCTTTCTATGTTAAGCTCTCACCTGTATTCTTGCACCCGCATCAAAGTGAGGTGGGAAAATGAGCTTGATAAGTCAGAACAAAGCTGCAGCCTGAGACCTGGCTGAGGACCTGCCACAGCCTGTCCCCCAGGAAACACCTCCCACATCGTAGGGGCAGCACAGGCAAAGGTGTCACAGAGCTGGGTCTGCCTCTCGTGGTTTCTTTCCTAACTGAGCCTCACCCTGGACCTGGACCCGGCACCACCCAGGTTTGGCCTCCTGTGGGGAAAGCTGTGGTCACCCCTCCAGGGAGAGCCCTGCAGTAGGAGTCTCCAGGTGAGGGGCACCATTAAGGACACAGCCTCCCATGGCACAGCTTGGAGCAGCCTCCCTCCTGTTTAGGGGTTTTAGGGAGTGCAAGTCAGTCCACAGGAGGAGCACACATAACTAGCTCAGGCATCCTTTCCTGAGGCTGGTCGGGGCTAACTCTGTGCCAGCAGTAGGCAGCTAATAAGACAGACAAGATCTCTGTCACTTGGAATATTCCATAATAATGATTAAAATTAAAGTTATAATAATTGCAATTGACATTATGTCCTGGGTGGGTGGGGGACAGACCATAGTGTGGTTTGCATGGTCACCTGGAGGCAGTGCACGGGGAGTGAGATGCTGACACCATGAGTCTGTAGCGTCAGGACCCCGACAAGTCTACACTCAGGACCTGTAGATACAGACATGGTGTTTCCATCCCTGGGGATCCTGCTGGCCCTCCCCAGGGAGCCCTCCCTCCAAACTCCCCTCTCTGTAGATGCTGCACTGGCTGGTGACCCCCAAGTGAGATGGTCTCATAGGAGTCAGTGATGGACCAGGGAGGGGCTGGGCAGAGCCAGAGATGGGAGCGGTGGCACGTCTGTGCACGAGCCCTGGAAAGACCAAGCCTGAGCCGTGCATGGGATTAGCTCTTGCTGCTCAAGGATGAGCCGCAGCTGGGGGCGGGGGGCTGCCCTCTGCGCGTCCCGCTGGAAGACATGGCGTCCCTGGGAAAGGTAGGCCCAGCTCGCCCAAGCTCACCCACCTTTCCCACTTTGCTCCCCACAGAAATCCTGAGCTTTGTGCTGGTGGGGAGTGGAGGGACTGGGAAGAGCATGACAGGGAACAGCATCCTCGGGTGGCCCAACTTCCCCTTCCAGCTCCACGCTCAGCTGGTGACCACGACCTGCTGGCAGGGCACTCAGATATGGGAAGGGCAGAAGGTCGTGGTGGTGGACACCCCACCCCTGGACCAGATGCTGGGAGGCCCGGGGGATCCCTGCCAGTTGGAGGGGAAGGTCGAGATCTCATTCACCTTCTGTGGGGACGAGAAGAAGATTCTGGTGCTGGTGCTCCAGCTGGGATGGTTCACACAGAAGGATGAAAAGGCTCTGCAGGATCTGGAGGCCATTTTCAGAGAGGAAGTGACACATCACATGATTGTGCTGTTCACCCGGAAGGAAGAAACTTGGAGGACAGGGAGATGGAGGATTACAAGGGGAACATGGACAATGAAGCTCTCAGGAAGATAGTGGCCAAGTGTGTGTGTGGGGTGTGTGCTTTTAATAACAAGGACACTGGCCAAGCAGGGGACGCCCAGGTGAGGGACCTTTTGAACACAGCCAACGAGCTGGTGAGGGAGCGCGGGGCCCGTGGGTACCCATGTGCTTGGGAGGGCGTGAGCAGGAACATTAAAAAGGTTCTGGAGATGGCCAATCCCTCATCCTGGAAGACTTTGCAGAATGTCTTACCAAGGCACCCAGAGCTGGGAGGTTGCTTTAAATCATCAACAGCCTCAGGCTGCCGGCATGAGGGGCCTGGTCGGGTGGGGATGGGGAGAGGGCCCAGGCTGGAGGAGCAAATGTCTCTCACCTGAGGTGTTTCAGACACAGCATGCCAGGATGGGCAGATGGCAGGGGATTAGAAAGGGAAGCAGAGGCCCTCCCCTGGTGGCGCAGCGGTTGAGCACTGGGCTGCGAAGCTGCCCACAGCCTCTGCAGCGCTGGTTAGATCTCTGGCTACCAGTGAGGGTCCCACAAGGCGGGCAGACCTCTCCTGCCACCCGCTGCTCCCCTCAGCAGTGTACTTCGGTCCTTCTGCCTGCTCTGCTCCCTGCTCTGGCTCTGGTGAATTCTCTCACCCTCCCGCGCTCCTGACTGTACCTGGTGCTTGTATAAATAAATAAATAAATCTTGAAAAAAAAAAAAAAGAAAGAAAGAAAGAAAGAAAGGGAAGAAGAAATAAAATCAAGGAGTCTAGTTCAGGACTAGAACAGAAATCAGAAGCTTGGTAAAATTGTCGCAATTAGACGGTCTCATGCATTTCCAAAATTAGGTTACTACCAAAGAATCATTGAAAGCTCCTTTGTGCATTGAAAGCTCCGTTGTGCTTTTCTCTTTCCTTTAAAGTCCCAGAAACTGGAAATTAGGGTGAAACTCAATGAACAAGGAGTCCCCCTTCTGGGCATGAGAGGCGACCTGTCCTGCAGGCCTGGGGAGCCCCACCCCCGCACCCTGGTCTCACCCCCTCTGCCCAGCTCCAGGGGCCCCTCTACACTCGGGGTCTTTCTTGGTTCAAGGTGGGCACCACCCACACCTGAGCACAGGATGCTGAGAGCTGCCTGGGTGGGAGCTGGAACCTTTTCCAGGAGACATGAGGTTGGAGGGCGGCAGTGTTAACACTTTGCACGTGACAAGGACAGGTTCCACATGATGTTTACTTTTGAAAGCGTCAGGTAAACCTTCCAGATTAGCCCATGTGGAAGAGCACAGCTGGTCACCATTGATTCTCTTGTTCTCTACGTAACACTTAATGGGATAGATTCTGGAAAATGTCATGTTTTACCTATAATGTTAAAGGTAACATAGGTAAAAACATTCACTTGAATAAAATCATAAAGACAAATTCTCCGTGAGCTCCTTCACAGCCGGCGGGTTCGCTTCTCCATCTGTGTGTGGGGAAAGCCCCTCAGGCTGCACTGGGCACTCCACTGAAGACCCCAGAAGAGGAAGGTTCTGCCTGTGTCTGTGGCGCTGTCTCGCTCCCAGCTGCCGCTGGTGCTCACCCCCCTCCTCCATCCTCAGTTCCTCCCCTTGGGCTCTTTCTGTCCAGCTCAGGCTCTCCCTATTGGGGACCTGAACCCTCATTCCAGAGGGATCTGAGATCTGAGACAGGGGTGGGTGCCCCCTGCTCACAGCTGCAGTTGGGCAGGGGAGTTCCCAGAGGTGGCCAATGGGGCTGAGTTCTCCTCTGGGCCCCTGTTGTGTAACAACTGCTCTTCCTCCTGCTGATGAGGGTTAATTACTGCCCTCCCTCCCCAATGAACCTTCTTTCTCTCCTGCTGACTCTGGCCCGGGGCATCTGGGTGCCAGGGGTGGGTCACAAGTCATGACTCAGAGTGTCTGACCACAGCCACCAGCACACCACCCGCCGTCCACTCCTCCTCCTGTCCAGTGTGACAGCACTGATGCGAGGGGATGGTCCCTCAGCTGAGGCGATGTTGCCCACAGGGACAGGGCGACACTGGAGACAAGTTGGCCTGTCCCCACAGGGGCGGGTGTGGCGGACAGGCCTCAGTCAGAGGCCCAGGCAGGGGCAGCCAGTCTGCACTGCCCAGGGCAGCTTCCGCACAGAGAAGCCCACACCCAGCATACCCGCAGGGCTAAGCCGGGAGACCTGCGAGCAGTGCACCTGTGCCAGGTGGGCAGCCCAGGGTCACATCGTCCTTGAATGAGAGGGTGAGGAGCATGTCCAGGAGAGGGCCTCTCCATGCTCAGCACGCTGATGGCTCCTGCATGAAGCTGGTGCTCCCTGTTCTCCCCGGACCTCTCCCCAGGACCCCACTTGATCCTCTGCCCTCTCACTTCCTCTTCCCTCCCTCCCTGCACTGAGAACCTCCTCAGGGACAGCGACTTCTGTGGTCACATTAGCCTGAATGTGAAGATGAAAGTGAAAGTGTCACGAGCTGCAGACACCGGGTCTCAGCCAAGCCACACCCACCAGAGGCTCCAGTGAAGCCTGCTGCTGTCAGCTGGAACTGGCAGCCGGGTGTGGTCATCATGTGGGCAGGGTGCAGTCACCCCATGGGCAGGGTGCGATCCAGCAGTGGTGGTGGCCATGCATGAGCTCATCTCACCTCCAGCACCGCCCCTGGTGCCCTGGTTCACTGCTCCCCAGCCTGACTACAAACAGAGGTGCCTGGGCCCAGCGTGTACTCGGGCCTGTGCCTGGGCAGGGCGTGGCGATCGCGTTGGTTTCTGCACTGCTGGTTGAGAGGCCCCTCCTGTGCCTGGGGCCTGTGTGAACAGTGAGTAACCTTACAGGTCACAGTCCTGCAGCGAAGTGTGTTCAGTTATTGGCATAATTTCCCCTCAGAACAGCAATACACACACCACTCACACACAAACACACACACACACACACACAGAGGTGTGGCCTGTGGAGCTCTTCTCCTTTACAAGAGCTGCCCGGGAGGACACAGGGACGCAGACCACCCTGAGAAGGTCACATGGGGCCACATGGGGTCTCTGCTCCTCACCTGAGTGGCTCTGCCTCCTGCTTAGTGCCTCCTGCTCCTCAGTCTCCCCCAGTCGCTCCCTTTGCCAACCAGCTTCCTGGGGGAGACCACCACTCAGGAGAGGGGCCCCAGCTCAGGGAAGTGGGGCTGCTGCTTCTTGGCAGAGGGGAGGCCAGTACCTCCGGGTGCCCCAGGCAAGTTCGGGGATGGGTTGAGGGAGCCGAGCTCCCTCCCCACAGCCTGGGCTGTGTTTTCAGTTCACGTGCCGAAGCAGAAATGGTTATATTCACACTTGGGAAAGCACCTCCCGGCAGAGCTGAACTCAGAGAGAAGTGGAATCGAAAGGTCCTGGGCTGAACTCAGAGAGAAGTGGAATCGAAAGGTCCTGGGCTGAACTCAGAGAGAAGTGGAATCGAAAGGTCCTGGGCTGAACTCAGAGAGAAGTGGAATCGAAAGGTCCTGGGCCTGGTCTGGCAGAAGCAGGGCTGAGGCTCTGAGTGCAGGGGTGTCAGGATGGGGTCAGGAGGCAGCGGCCCCTCAAAGGTCAGGGTCAGGGCTCTGATGACCAAAGCGCTGCTTCCTGCTATGGTGGCTGGCCAGGGTGGGGTGTGAAGGGAGTGAGCAGGCCTGGGGGGCTGCTCCATGCAGAGCCTGAAGAGGGAGGAGGGACAGGGCGTCCCAACCCCCACCCCAGCCCATGGGTCACACAGGAACAGTCAACCCCGGGCGTCTCCAACTTCCCTCAGAAAACACACAGGGTCCTGGACAGCTCACCCGCCTCCCTCTCCAGCCTTGTGTCCACACAGCCTGACCTCTGCCTCCAGGAGCTCCTGCCCCGCCTCCCGGGAGCACTGAGCTCCCTGCGGCCACAGTCCCACTCCTCACCTTCACTCAGCCACTTCCCAGGCTCTTTCCTGGGGGCCACTAGTTTAACTCGCCCTCCCCTCCTTGTGTGTCTCCTCTGCCACCCTCAGCTCAGCAAGGTCAGGCTCAATGTCAGCCCAGCTGAGAAAGAAAGTAGTAGGGGTAAGACAAAAAATCTTATTTTCTAAAAAGCATTTTGTAATTCAATGATCATATAATTAATTTATTAAAATTTATTTTCTTTCCCCATAAAATATAAAAGCCCTCTAGAAAACAGGGTGAGAAAGCAGCTCTGGTTTGGATTAGCAAGGCACAAAGTTAAATCCTTGGCACAGAGTTTATAAAAAATGTATGTCCTCTGCATGAGGAAGGCCCAGAGCCTGGTGCAGAGAAGTGAGGGGGCCAGATGCAGCCTGGGGTTGTAGCAGCATTTCCTGGGTGGCCAGTCTGTGCCCAAGGCCAGTCTGAGCAGGTGTTGCCAGCATGAAGAGAAGAGAGTAAGTTGATAAAGGTATATTTGATCATGCTGCAATTTTAGGGTCCATCCATTACAATCACCTATTTTGTGGCCATATTTTTCTATTTAATTTCTAGGAAATGCCAAGAAAGTTTAAGATATAATATGAACTTTGGAATTAGTGAGGATGGTGAGGATGGTCCCATAAAATGTAAGGTTGGGGGTTTGGATAAAACTAGTCCTTTGGATTCCAACCACAACAGGGTGGAATAGAGAGAATGGAATCAACCTCTCTCCTAAAAACAACTATAAAAAAGGACTGATATGAGCTCCTGCCAAAACCCACTCTTTGAATTGGCTGTGCAACACCAGGATTTCTCCAGGAAGTTCAAGAGCCAGAGAAAGACCCCATTTTCTGTGAGCACCTGGCCGCATCGGGAAGGGCATCCCACCTGGCCATCAGCCAACACCTCCCAGCTTATAGGGCCCAGCATCCTACCCTGCATCTCAGACCCTCAGATACCTGAAGCCACAACTTTGAAGGAGCTATCAGGTCAACACAGACCCCAGAAAGAACATCCCACTCAGCCTTCTGGAGCCTCCTAGCAGACCAGACCAAGACACCAGTCACCAGCTCCTCAGAAACCAACAGAGGGCCGAGACAGAAATAATTTTTTTTTTCTCTTCCTATTTATTTTTCCTTCTTCCCTTTCTTTCCCTTTCTTTTGTTTTCTTCTTCTCTGTTTTTGTACTTTGTTTTCTTCTCTTTCCCTTTTTCCCCCTTTTTTTCTTTTTTCTTTCTTTCTTCTTTACTGAGCTACAACTTAGAGGGGCCTAACAGTTCAATATGGAGGTGCATTAGTTTCAGTCTGCAGGCACCTTCCAGTGGCTGGGCCCCAGTTCAAGCCTTGCAGTGCCATACCCCATATAAGGGACTCTTGGTTACTCTAGGTGAGCACCCCTGAACCCAGCACTAACTGCAAGCTCCTGGGGTAGATATAACACTGAATCACAATCTTGAAGCATCTACCAGTTCGCTTCATGCCCCCAAATGCACCAAGAAGCACATCCCACTCAGTGTACTGGTACCACTTAGAGTATCAGGACACAGACAGAGCTTTCTGTTCACACTCCCTGAATCAAGGACCTTCAGGTACCATCAGGTGTGCACCCTTAGCTCCAGAACCATCTCACAGCACCTTGGGAGTGGACAGAGGCCGGAGCTGCAAACTTGCAGGACCTAGATGTACACTAAGGGCCCCAGCCTTACTAGGAAGTACATCGTACTCAACTTGCTAGTACATTCTAGGAGACTGGGAACTTCCCAGGCCTCGTGGTGCCATGCCTTACATCAGAGACCCTCAACCAGGAATCCTCCATGAATCTTGAGAAACTCTGCCATCCTAGCCAGCAGAGGAAGACCCTGAGCCACTGCTCTAGACTCATTGCCCCACCTACATTCCCAGTCACAAGAAGAAGGCCTGAGAGAGCATTGGGGGAGGCTCTAGCACCATCCTATCCCACAAGACCCAGTAATTGTACCCAACATCAAGTGAACACCTGGAACAGAGAGGGAAAATAACTCATACACAATAAAAACACAAACCATAGAAGAGCAAACCAAAAGCAAACAGTGGGGAGAAAGAAAAAATACAAATGGCCAAGGAAGCCCTCAGCACAGAAGGAAAATCAAACTTCAGAACCCAACTACATCAACACAAAAGGACGTTCCTGCATGTCAGATGAGGAATTCAAAATAGTTATAATTAAGAAAGTGAAAGAAATCAAACAACACTCAAAACAACAAATAAGAAAAGTATGAAAAGACACAGAAAAGGAAAAGAATGTTATGAGAAATACAATCAATGATAGAAGAACAGGATTGAAACTTCAAATAAGAAAATGGAGGAACTGCAGAATATTAAAAGAAATCAATGGAGGAGCTAAAAAATTCTTGTAAAGGTCATGAAAATAGAATAAACCATATAGAAGAATGAATTAGTACTCTCAAAGACAAAGATATGAAAGGAATAAAGAAGTAAAAGTAAAAAGAGATTCAAAGGAAAAAAGAGTGAAGAAATACTTCTAGAATTCTCTGAGAATTTCCATGAGAAAGGGAAATATGAGTCATAGGAACCCCAGAAGAAGAAGAAGAAAAGTGAACTGAGAAACTGTTCAAGAAAAT